TGGAGAATCATGTTATCATTGGGGTACACGTAAGATTGAGAATAGGTAATATTATGATAATGATGATATTAATATTGGTATTATAGGTTAACTAGTATGATGTTAGATGAGATATCTACCATTATAAAGGATATCCATGATAGTAATACTATCAAATATCTTATAATTACTCAAAAACCCGATAATAGGCAATAATACTACCTCTTCTGCTTTTGGTATACTCCTTCATTAGATTCTGGTGTAATGGTATAGACCTAAAATGGTTAAGTATATGGCATGGTAGGGTTAATGAGTTCATTATACAACTACAACAGTAATCATTATAGTAGTGATGATGATGATGATCTCTATTATTAGGATTATGAGTGATATACTTACATTACCAATACCCACCATAGCAATCATTAATGGACATGCTACAGGTAATAATAGGATATATTACTAGTAGTAGTAACATGATCGTAGTACTCTCAGCTGGAGGTCTACTATTAGCTATGTGTTGTGATTATCGTATAGTAATTGGTAATAATAAGGATAGTTTATACTTCATACCAGGAGTTGAATTAGGTCTACATTATACCACAGGTAGTAGTGTCATTATATCAATGATTTTTATCATGTATATTATTGTTATTAGGTATGGTTGAATTGATACGTAGTAAAGTACCATCTACTACAGCTAGAGATATGTTATGTTATTCTAGACGATATACAGCTAAAGATGCCCTTAGGGTTGGTATCATTGATTATATATTGCCTAATTATGATCTCAATATGACCACTACCTTCATAACGGTAATAATAGTAATAGTATGGTTATTGATGATAGGATGTTAGGAACATATCATTACTAAACCCTTCAATAGGGTATCTCTAGGTAAAGTAAAGACGTCTATGTATGATACTATTATCAAACATCTAAATACACATAATAAATATGATGATGATATTATGGGTATTAATACCATGTTACATTCTACTACTACTAAATCCAAACTATAATGATGAATCATCTTATAATCATCATCACCTTGAGTTTGACTGTATAGTAACATGCCATACTCTAACATCAGCTCACTATACTATGGCCCAATATCACTACTACTACTAGTATGATGATGATGATGATGAAACGTAATACATCTAATACTCTATCATCAGTGTCATCAGAGGTATACATATACAGCATGGGTGTTGTTGTATAATGATGATGATTAATAATTAGGTAAGGTCAATAGGTAGGATATCATCATGGAGGCTATGTGGTATTATTATAATCCTATTATTAATAATAATACCACTAATGATGCATATAACCCACCAAGGATGGTGGTGGTGGTATACTCTACATGTAGTAGTACTCATTATTACAACTAAAGTATACATTCAGGATGACGATGGTGGTCATGCTGTACCTATCCATAATATTACTGGTATATCATACATTTATTATCTATTATCCAATAACATACTACTACAACAACAAAAACAGTCCATAGGTAGGGATAGAAGTAGCAGCTCTTTGAATGATAATACTATGATAACAAAAGGAGAAGAAGGACCAATGAGGGTGTAATATCAATGCCTCACAAGTAGTAGTATGATTATTGTAGATATGTATGGGGTGATGATGATGATGATGGTATGATGATAAAGGATGTTGGTGATAGAGTATATAAGCTAAGAGAAAAGGAATTAGATAATCCACAAGCATCTCATAATCAATTCCTAGCAGAAGTATTGGTAATAATATCAATGGTATATACCAATATTATTATTATTAGTAGATACATAAAGCATTATTGATACATCATTGGAGGACCAATGATATATATTCAGCTCATATTATATTCGTACTACTACTGCTAATGCAACAACAACAACATCAATAGCTACTCCTGATGATTATGATAATAACATTTAGGTACCCTATTATGGTAGATTAACCAAAGGTAAAGGATTAGAGGCTTATCGTAATGATATGGCACAAGCAACACTTAATTTAATACGTAAATCTATTTATCTTAATAAGAAGGCTAAGATTCTTATAATTCATTCTAGTACTAGAGATTGGCCTTCTATATTTACTAAGGAGATATATCACTATCTATTATCTGATAGAGTTATGGTAGCCGCATTAGAAGGCTCTAAAGGTGATCTCAGACCAACTGCGTACAGGTTTAATAATAATAAGGATATATCTATACCATATGTTATACATTATCAACATATTATCAATGCATTTACACGTTATACTAGCATAGATGATGTTATTATGATGGTCAATGATAATACTAGTAATAATAATAAGGATATATTTATCGAGATGACATGCTCAGCAACTCATCGTTATAGGAAGTACTTTGCCAAAGTACTGAATAATGCTCCTGAACTAAAAGGAAAGAATACTCATATCATTGTGAATAGCCTCATCAACTCATCATCAATAACAAGAGATAATCCTAAATATCAAGATGGTAATATGATAAGTTCTAGTATGGATCGTATGGCTAGAGCTGTATTCTGCCTCGTACCTAGAGGTATAACATCTACATCAAGAAGGCTTTATGAAGCTATAATAAATATATGTATACCGATAATATTAAGTAATAACTTTCGTGTACCATTTACCAATTATCATTATCATAATATTGATATAAACAATAATATAGGTGTAGTTGATAGTAGTAAGTTTATTATTAAATGGAATGAATCTGATATTAAAGATCTACCGATGTACTTAGTAAATAACATGACTATTGATATTATAACTACAATGCAGGATTGAGCTTATTAAAGTACGTAGTAGATATGTATATAATCAACTACCATATTGGCAACTACAACCAGATGCTACTCATACTATGTTACAACTTATACGTAATATTATTACTACCACTTAATATTCTTTATATCATCACGAGTATCATCATGTTCTATTATGACAATACTCCATGATTGTGGTTATCCAATGATGTTGTTGTTATAGTTAGGAGGGCAATCATATCACAAATCCTCACACGAATCTGCCTCGTGTTACCTTCAACAGCACCAAACACGCAAGTCTGAGGACTATCACAGAGGTATCCTAAAACGTTTCGACATTCTCACAGTGTGCAGAAGTGGAAAAGCGTCCGAGAATGGCTGGTTGTAGTATTTCAACGTCGATAACCTATATCATCATCAAACTGTAATTAGACAAACTTAGTAGTTTATATCGTCTGCTCGTGAGTTTTGTGTTATCGTGTTGCCTCGGATGGCGGCGGCGGCGGTACGGTTAACATCATCAACACGTCTTTCGCGTTTTGGCCTCATACCACTTTGCGTATTACACAACATTAATGACAATCCAATGAGTAACACAATAGTAGGAGGGTATGATGACAGTGAAATGGTAATAATAATAATACATCATCATTAACCAGCAAGTTTAACCTTTACTACACCACGTGACTTTTTCTTTTTCTTCTTCCCATCATCTTGTGGTGTATTACCTACTTATATCATTATACCTACATTATCACTCAGAGTATCATACCTTCTCTAGTCATAGCCAATGTAACATCTATTCCCTCGTATGATGATGATGGAGGAGGGGCAAACTCTCGTTCTAATTCCTCTTCAGAATTCAATATCTCTTCCTCTGGTGTAAGTCGACCTACTAGTGATACTATCATGATAATAATACTATATTGGTACTACCAGTCGTGACCATCCTATGTTTAGATATACCTCTCATCACATCTGCTGATGATGATGATGATGAGGCCATCACTGTAGTAGGAGTAGGAGTTTTTCCTATGATCCTAGGATGTACTGTTGGTGCGGTAGATATTAATCTACTAAATGTCTCCATATGACTTTTATCCTCTGCCTCTATCTTTAATCTATCTTCTTTATATGCCTTTCTCCTTTGTTCTTTACGATATTTATATTTCCTATCAATCTGCGATTTAAATGCCTCTAATGTAGTGTGTGATAACTTCCTAGGTTTAATGAAATCAACATCCACAATACTAGCTGTAGAACCTAATAATAATGTATACACATATAAGAATGTTATCTTCTCTATTACCATGTACGAGATGAGCTAATGATCTATAATTCCTTCGAGAAGTATTATCAATAGGGATATCTCGTATACCAACAATCCGACATTTGATCTGTCTGGGCATTAGATACCTGAATATCATAATAATAATAACATTCATCATCATAATCCTCATCACTCCATAATCATTATTATTATTATTATTATAGTATTACATTTTATCAAATGCATCAGTTTTACCACAATATTCCATCATAAGACATTTAAACCATAATGAATCGAGATACACATGTGATATACCATATTGATAGAAGTATGTATTATTTGATGATGATGATAATAACAATGGATCTTCATCGTGATGATCATTAACATTCTGAACATCATCCTTTCCCTTCTTCTCCTGTAGTTTCTGTTCAGCCTTCTATTATAGTATTAGTAATAGTATCAGGCTTTAATATACCATCATTAGTAGTAGTATCATCATCTTCTTCTTCTTCACCATTTGTTGTTGTTGTAGATAGATTGTTGTTGTTGTTATTATAATCGTGTATTTCCTTGAGTACATAATCCCTAGCCATATATATACC